GCTGTACTTTCACCTAGTACACTCTACGAGCTGACAGCCGTCTCACCTCCAGATAAGTGTGTACTTTTTATTTCTTATCAAATTGCATATCTCTTTGTGTAAATACAATTCCGGTCCAGTTACACTTGCCATTTCGAGTCTTTTAACTTTGATTCCGTTCTTTAGTACTTGCACGTAGGCAGAGTACTAATTAAGGTCATAAACGGTGAAGGAATTTGTAAGAGTTGTTATTGTTAGGTCGAAATAAATCCCAAGTCTAACTCTTACAAGTGGTGAGCCCGAGTTTTCACCGTTTGCCTACTTAGTAGCCTAAAGTGTAAATAGTCCTTTTTCATATTGGTAATTTGTTTTTCACACAGAGTTATAAATTTTATTTGCCTTGTTTTTACTCATATTTTTTGTTATCATATTTGTTGTTATCATTCTATTTATATATCGTCTTGTTCGCGGGATGGCTGTAACCGTAACTCAGACGAAGGACTCCTCTACCGAAGGGTCATCAAAATTAGATGTGGTGGCCTACATAACTAAGATTAATGAAGAGATAGATAAGTTAAAACAGGAGAGGACATCTAGAGGTCGTTCACATAGCCGCACCAGCTCGACTCGTGGCAGATCTTCGTCACGAGCTGGCAACAGACGTCGTAGGCCTCAAAATTCCCAACCTGGAGTGTGCTGGTATCACCGGCGTTATGATGATAAGGCCCAAAAGTGCACTCGCCCGTGCACCTTTGATGGCCAGCAGTCGGGAAACCAGTAAGCCAGCACGTATAGGCGACTAACGTCGCTGGCGAACCACTCCCATGTCGCCTCTTCTATGTTGCCGACCGTACCACTGGGACACGCTTCCTGGTTGACACTGGGGCGGAAGTTAGCGTGGTTCCACCAACATCTGAAGAGCGCAAGCGGCCACTTTCCTTACAGCTTCGCGCCGCAAACGGTTCGCCAATCACAACGTACGGCAAAGGTTACCTGGATCTTAACATAGGCCTACGTAGGTCATTTCGCTGGGTTTTCCTTGTAGCAGATGTAACTACCGGTATTATTGGCATGGATCTCATGCAACACTATCAGCTACTGGTTGATACTGGCAAACACAAACTGATCGATTCAGCTACAAACCTTTCGATCTCCGGTGTTGTGACACACACACCTGCATTAAGCCCAGTATATTCAACCCCTGCCTCCAACGGCCCTTACGCTGAAGTTCTTCAGTCCTTTGCCAATCTGTTCAAACCGGTTTCTAAACTTCCTTGTGTGACGTCTACTGTCACTCATCATATCGTGACCACTGGTCCACCGGTCTTCGCTAAGCCACGGCGATTGTCCCCAGAAAAACTACAAGCCGTGAAGGCTGAATTCGAACATATGTTAGATATGGGGATAATCCGTCCTTCCAGCAGCCCGTGGTCTTCCCCTTTACATGTGGTGCCAAAGAATAACGGGATAGATTGGAGGCCTTGTGGTGATTACCGCAGACTTAACGCACAGACCATGCCAGATCGCTACCCCGTACCACATATACATGACCTTACGTCGTCTCTAAAGGGTGCCACGGTATTCAGTAAACTGGACTTAACCAGAGCCTATCACCAGATTCCAGTTCACCCAGATGATATTCCTAAAACGGCAGTGATCACCCCTTTTGGTCTTTTCGAATTTCTTCGAATGCCGTTTGGGCTCCGCAACGCCGCACAAACATTCCAGCGATTTATTCACGATGTTTTGCGCGGATTAGATTGTGCATATGCTTACCTCGACGATATTCTCGTGGCTAGCCCAGACGAAGCTAGCCACCGTACGCATCTACAGATGGTTTTCGAGCGGTTAACAGCCCATGGTTTGACACTTAACATGTCCAAATGTCAGATTGGCGTCCATTCATTGACCTTCCTGGGACATGTCGTTAATGAACAGGGAATTCGCCCGCTACCTGAGAAGGTGCAGGCAATACGCGACTTCCCGGAACCTACGTCAATAAAATCTTTGCGCACATTTCTCGGCATGGTGAGTTATTACCGACGGTTTGTTCCCCAATGTGCACATATTTTACTGCCACTCACAGACCTACTAAAGGGTAGGAACAAAACGTTCAGCATGACACCAGAGGCTCGAGAAGCCTTCCAGAATATTAAGTCGGCAATTGCAGACGCCACCATGCTAGTCCATCTTCCGCTTAGCATCTCAGTTGATGCATCTAACACAGCCATTGGAGCTGTTCTACAGCAACTGGTACATACTTCATGGATACCAGTTGCCTTTTTCTCCCGGAAGTTGTCCGCCGCTGAAGCGAGGTATAGCACCTTTGGCAGAGAACTCCTCGCCATATACGCGGCTATCAAACATTTTCGCCACTTTGTCGAAGGTCGGAAATTCACAGTAT